TATTTTCATTTAGTTATTTTTCATAAAAAGGTCGAAATGGTCTGAAACCTAAAATTCAACTATGATATATTAAATTTTTACAGTAGTATACGAGATATGTCAAATAGGTAATTTTGCTGAAGAGTAAAATATCTTTATTTTTGACAAACCTCGTATACGACTGATAAAATTTGATATCTGATGGTAGTATTTTAGGTTTGAGACCATCCTCGTCTTACTATATGCAGAAACCTTTTTTATTTCTAATTTTATGAAAAAAGTTATTTTTCATAAAAAGTCGAGCATGGTCTAAAACGTAAAATGCAACCATCAAATATCAAATTTTATCAGTCGTATACGTGATTTATCAAAAATAAAGGTACTTTATTTTACAGCTAAATTCATATTATTTGATATATCTCGTATACTATTGTAAAAATATATCTGATAGTTGCAGAACTTTTTGTGAAGAAAAACTTTTTTCATAAAGTTAATAATAAAAAAGTTTCCCATATGCTGCGAACTTAAGTGGACACACTGTATATGCTTGAACTTTTGTAAATACCCGACTGTTAATTTCGACGTATTTGTGTTTGGGGACTTACCGCCGCTGACTTGACATGTAAGAACTAAAAGCTGCGTATCTTACCTATTTCAAAAATAATATTGTTTTATTTCCAAATATTGTCCATATCTTAAAGTGGTCCAAAGTAGATTAAGAAGAAATGAGAGGACCAGAGATCTTATTGGTTAATTTGGGTTGGATTCCTTGTTAAAAAAATCTCATTAATAGATTTTTTTATATTTAGACAACTAATCATGCAGACTGTTCAAAAATAAGGTTTAAAATAAGATTGAGACAACTACAAACAAAATTTTTTATGGAAATTCACATTTTTCTCATTTTATAGTATTTAGTATCGAAAATAAAGTATAAAAAATAAGGTTGTCTACAAGATGGTCCGTTAACAATGGGACACAGAACATCTATAAATTCCTTGCATAAAAATCTTGCGATATATAAATTTACCTTTGTTCAATTCTGGATATTGAAGATATTATAAGGTGTTAAAGTAGATACTTAATAAAATGAAGTGTCAAATATTTCAATCAAAAATACTGATATAAATGTATCTATTTTAACACTATGTATATTCTTTAATATCAAAAATTGAACTAAGGTAAATTGTGTTATATCGCAATACTTTTATAAAGTAGCTCTGAATCTCATTATTAACGGATCACCCTGTGGACGACTTTATACAAGGTTACCTTTATTTTAGATGCTAAATACTACAAAATAAGAAAAATGGGTTGTTCCATTTGAAAAATCGATTTTTGGCAGTTTTCTTAATCTCATTTTAAACCTTAAACCCAAGGAATCCAATCCGAAGTAGATATAAGGACTTCTTTATAGGACTAACTGATAATTATATGAGGGCTTACCAACGTCATTTTTGACATAAAAACTAAAATATGTAAAATCGCTCTGACTTCGGCATATGATATGATACATAAAACCTGCCCAGAATCTGAAGTAAAATTCAAATTTGTAATAATAGGATGCCGTATTTAAAATAAGCGACTTAAGATCTATTTCCGGTCAATAGGAATAGCTAAATGAGCCCCAAGACATCTTGCAAGTTCCCAGATTTTAATTTTTTTCTTACATCCAGTTCATGAGATATAAGTTTTCGTAAGTTTTTAAATTGTCAGCCATATGTGGTATGATTCCAAATAAAATTTTGATTATCAGAATGAACGGCAACAAACAACTTGATATTATTTATAAAAATCATCACTGAGGAGATAAAACTCTTATTTTTGGTACATTTGTAAAAGACATAAGTTTTAACTTTTTTTTATAAAAATTTACCCCTATCATTTTGACCAAATTTTGGAATTCAAACTGTTTTATTTAAAAAGTTTTAACCTAATATTTTGGGAATACCACCCCCATTCTCCCTCTATGGGATGGTGGGGGGTAAGATTTTTATAGGAAAGCGTTGTAAATCTGGTTTATTGTAAAATGTCAAAAATTAATTTTTTATCTTACCTGTTAATTTTTTTTAATTGCAAAAGTAAGGAAAAATCGTAAATTGTAAGTATTTTATTTAAAAAGTTTTTTTTATCGGATTTCCTATTTATGAGAAAATACATCCATATATCTAGTTTGCTCTTAATATCTCGACCAAACTGCCCTAGTCACAAGAGTGATTTTAATGTGTTTACATAATCCAACTTAAATTATTTTAAATTTCAATTCAGAGTTTAGAATTATATAAACAGTTAGATTTTATGACTATTCTCGTATCACTAAATCGTAGATTTCATACTTAATTTACATTTGGCAACTGAGCGAAGGTTCAGAATTGTACGATTAGTGTGAACAAAACTGTATAAAATGGTTCAAGATTGTATCAATCTTCTAATGGTTCAGGATTGCACTGATCCAGTAAAATCTTTAGAAAAATTAAATTTTTTTAATGAAATATTCAGAGTATACATTTCATATTACAGATAAAGAGACCCTCTGTTTCCAATATACATTAAATATACTTATCCAACTTTATTATTTTTGGGTGGTTCAGGTTTGATAGAATCTCCAATTGGCTTGGGATTGATAGAAAGATGTAAATATATATATATATATATATATATATATATATATATATATATATATATATATATATATATATATATATATATATATATATATATATAATATATAAATCGTTTATTTAGTAAAAAAAAAACTATTTTGTACATGTTGATACATCTTTACATTTAAAATATAAAAAATACATAAATATAGAATTAACATACATTTAAAATACAGTACACTTTATATGTGAACTATACAAAACAATAAAAGAGTTAAGGTGCGTTTAGTCAGCCTGATTTAGTTTTAAGCATTAACATAGACATTAACATTAATTTAAGGATTTTAAAACAAAACCGTTTATACAGAAAATTTAAGCATTAACATAAGATTTGACAAATCATACAAAATGGAAAAAAGGCGTATGGGAGCTGCTTCTGAAATTGCTCTGCTAACTATCTCACAATTACTATTAATAAAAGTGCAGAAAAAGGAGTTTAGAAGTTCAAAATTTAAAAGTTAGAAAAATAGCTTAACCTCACTTTTTGAACGCACATGCGCAATTGTATTTTCGACATAAATTTAAGCATTAAGTTGGATTTTATTTATCTTCACTAAATTTATGTTAATGTTTATGCTTATGTTATTCTGTATAAACAGGTACACTGAAATGTATTGAAATTAACTTTTATGTTAAGCTTAAAACTAAATCAGGCTGACTAAACGCACCTTTAGTTTTCCAACAGCACTGATCAAATTTATCGATCTTAAATGGATAGCTTTACTTGGATTTGAAATTTTTGGTATCGGAATTATTGTAGCAATCTTAATATCGTCCGGAACTAAGCTTGTTTCAATAGAAACATTTATAATATGTAGTAGAGGTTGGGATAAACTCTCAAAACATTATTTTAATAAAATTGTAGATATTTCGTCTGGACTATTTTTATTTGACATTGAAAATAATATTTCTTTTATATCATTATAATTAATTAGTTTAAAATTTACAAGAGATGAGGTATAATCGGATAATTATTAATAGTAGGTAACTGCTCAGATATTTGTTCAATACTCTTTACATAGTAATTTTGATAGGACCTTTGCATCAGTATGTACAAGCAGCAATTAAACGACGTATGTTTTTCCTATTCATGTGTAAAGAGCAAGTTGGATGAAAAATGAATTTAATTAATTCAAAATACTAAAGAATTATACAACCTGGGTTATAAGTTATACTTTGACATGGCATTAAAAAGTATAATATTAAATGAGTGTCAGTTGAGTGTAATATGTGAATACTACCTCACATCTTTGATTGTGAGCAGATCGAGAGCCTAGTGTGACCTGAGCGCCTAGTAAGAATGGGCCTTTAGGGAAAGTGTTCAAACGTACTTTATCAGACGATATGATTATTCGTAAATGTTTCTATTGGCCGATCATTTAAACATTTTTAATCCAAATTTTTCATCACATTTACTCATACATAATTATTTCATTCAAAAATGTTTCATCCAAATTTTTGATCCAGAAACGATCCCACAAACTGAGACAGAACTGAACCACATTTTTTTTATCCAAACTAATTTCGTTTAAAAATGACCTAAGTTGTTGAAGTCAAAGACACCAATGAAAAAAAAATTTCCCAGTAATTTTTCATCCAAAATTATTCAATTCAAAACTTTTTCATTTGTTTCATTTAAATTTTTGATCCACAACTGATGCTGAACTGATTCACAATTTTTTCATTCAGTTTTTTTTTAACTGATACACAAGTGATCCACAATTTTTTCTTCCATTATTATTTTCATCTAAAATTTTTTCATTTATTTAAATTTTTAATAATAATTTCGTTCAAAATGTTTTCATCCAACTGATCCAGAATTGATTTTTCATCCAAATTTTTTTTATTCATTTCCATTTAGTCGCACGATTCAATTTAGACGACAAATGTCATTGGAAGAACAATCTGTGTAGAAGACGACTAAGGGCCATTTGTACCGCTAGTAAAGAAATAAGTCTAAAATTATATTTTTTTTTATGGAAAATTGTCTTTTTATGCTCAGCTTATTTGAATTTAGAGACACGACTCAGACTGAGGTCGATTTCCGATTTGTATCGATAGTAGTCAAAGCTTAAAATTATATTTTTATAAGGATAAATGTAGTTTTAGGCTAGACTAAATTTAAAATTACCATCCTGTTTATTTGAACTACCCAAGTAATTTTGTTTCAACTACTATAAGCGTGGAAAAATTAATATCAGACTGATTTGATTGAATTGAATTTTCAACTAAATCGAAATCTCAAAATCCTTTAAATACTAAACAAATATAAAACTACCGGTAAATTTGAACTATTAACATTATTTTTAACTACTGCATTAAAACCATAACGGGTATTAAATAAATTACATAATATTTTTATTAATCATATTTAATTAATTCATTATTATAAATCTAAATAATTTTTAACATCCCAAATACGCACACAATAAAAAGTCTTAAAGTTTTCAAGCGAATATCATCTCATCCCTCCTTCTCTTGGGCTGATTGGGCTTCGCTTGGCATTCGGAATGGTTCATCAACTCCGGCGGACACGTAGACACCGGCGAGGAAAGCAACATGTTCTTGAGATCGAAGAACAGCGCAGAATCGTCGTTTGTACAAAAACTGACTGCGATACCTGTTTTACCGGCACGACCCGTACGACCGATACGATGAGTGTAGTCTAGAAAAAAAAAAGTTAGTAAAGGGTACTTGTGTGTGGTCCAAACTGTCTATTTAAGGAAGTAGGATTACATATCAAAGTCAACAATATTTAATTTTGGTTTTTAAATCTCAATTTAAGAGTCTAAAATGCCCATTTAAGAGTCTAAAATGTTAATTTTACAGTCTAAAATATCACAAAATGTCCGAGTTTAAAAATCTACTTTAAAGTCTAGAATGTCTTTTAAGAGCCTTAAAACTCGTTAATTTATATTTGGCTAGCCTAAAGTTGCATTTTAGAGTTCTGAATGTCATAATGTATAGTTCTAAAATCTAAAGTCCATGGTACAGCCTAAAATACGTTTTTGAATCTATAAATCGTCTATTTTAGAGTATAAAATGTTCATTTTAGAGTTTAAAATTTCTATTTGGTGTTTCTAAACCTTAAAAATGCAAATCAAGTGTCTAAAATGTCAGATTTTATGTCTGTTGTACTTTTAGACAATAATATGTCATATTTTAAAGTCTAAATGTCCATTTTAATATATAATTTGGAATTCGAAAGCCTAAAAAATACATTTTAAAGTCTAGAATCTTTTAGATGTCTTAAAACTTAGTAATCTATATTCGTCTAGTCTAAAGTTCTGATTTAGAATGTTCATTTTGATAAGAGTTTAAAATATCATATTGTAGAATTCTATAAAGTCTAAAATACTTGTTTGGAGTTATAAATCGTCCATTAAGAATGTAAAATATTCAAGTAATAATTGTCTTAATTTTCTATTAAAAGTCTAAAATTTGTAGTTTAGGCTTTACAACATTACAATATCCATTTCAGTTTGAAAGTCCGTAAAGAGTCTCAATATATATTTCAATGTAAATAGAAAACTACAAGAAATATAGACATATTTCAAGCTTAATTTTGTCTATACTGTAGATCCCATTAATCTAGATTCTAAAATTAACATTTTAGAGTCTAAAATATCTAAATATTTAAGGTTCTAAAACTAAAAAATGTAAATTTAGAACCCCAAATGTGAGGATTTGTCCGTTCTCCTTTCGGAGCATAAAATGTCCGAGTTTAATGTCTAAAATGTCCATTTTAGTACATAATTTCGAGTTTCTAAATGTAACAAATCCACTTTAAAGTCTAGAATGTATTTTAAGAGCCTTAAAACTCGTTAATTTATAATAGTCTAGTCTAAAATGTTCATTTTAGAGTCTAGAATATATTTTTTGGATGTATAAACCTTAAAAATGTAAATGAACAGTCTAAAATGTCAAGTTTTTGTCTGTAGTCCTTTTAGACTCCAAAATGTATTTTTTGCACTCTAAAAATGTCCGTTTTTATTATTTAAAATTTCAATTTAATTGTCTAATTTCGAGTTCTTGAGTCTAAAAAAATCCAGTTTATAGTCTTGAGTGCCTTTTAAGTCTGAAACCTCGTTAATTTATAGTCATCAAGCCTAAATTTAGAGATTAGAATGTTTGTTTAATGTAAAAATACCATTTTTTTGTTTACAAATTGTTATTTAAGGGTTCCAAATATTAGTCTTTAACTATTATATAAGAGTCTAAATTATGTATTTTAGAGTTTACTACACTACACTATCCATTTTATTTTTTAAGACCGTTAAGAGTCTAAAATATATATTTTATCTATCAAAAACTAGAAGAATTTAGGAGAGATTCCAAACCTAATTTGTCTATAATAAAATCAAAGTGATTTCAAGTCTAAAATGAACATTTTTAGTGTCCAAAAAATACATTTTGGAGTCTAAAATTACCTGGAAACATTTAATCTAAAATCAAAGTGATTTAAAGTCTCAAATATACATTTTGGAGTATAAAATGACCCTGGAAACGTTTACCCAAATCTTACCTTCGATAGTTTTCGCCATATCGTAATTGATGACCATAGAAACGTCTTTGATATCGATACCTCTTCCCGCGACATCCGTAGCAACCAATATATCTTTGGCACCGCCTTTGAGACTCGCCAAGGCGTACTCTCTTTGCTCTTGTCCTTTACCACCGTGCAACGTACACGCATTGTGTCCCAATTTCTCCAAACCTTTGGCCAATACGTCCGCGCCCTTCTTTTGGTTGACGAAGATGATGACTGGGGGTTCGATTCCTGAAAAACAAAAAATAGTTAATATTGTAGTATAGAATATTGGGTTCAAACTATTAATATTTGTCGTTTTTAAATAAAGATAATGTCAATGAAATTTAATATTCGGTACATTTGAACTATTGATTTAATTAATTGTTAATATACCAAGAATTTATTATTTGTTATTAAATGATTAAAAAATTGGTTAAAAATGTTAAATTTTTCGAAACTGATGTTGCTATTCAATGTTCTAAAGTACATTTGAACTGCTGATTTGAAATTGATAGTTTTGTTGCTATATAAGGTACATTTGAACTACTGTAATTACGAGACTATCTTTTATATTTAAACAGTATTTCTATCACATCCTACAAGAAAAAGTTTCAAAATGACAATTTAATTTTATCTTAAATTTGATATTTAATTTCCGGTACATTTGAACTTCTGCACTTGAACATTTTAAAACGACTTTTTTTCCCTTTTAGCAATTTGCATTTTATTTCTGGGCGACTTCACGAAATTTATAAGAGGTACATATTACTTGTATAATTTGTAGTTATTTTATCCTTAATAAATGACCGAATTTTCAATATAATCTATTTCTATTAATTAATGATTTTGACAATGGTGGTGCATTTGAAATACTTCAATTCTTTGATAAAAAAATACTTTCTTTATTAAATTTTTAACAATTTATATTTTGATTTAACGTCGAGTACATTAGCACTACCGCACTGAAGTCTTCAAAATAACTTTCAAATTGGATGAAATATAACATCAGGTACATTTGAACTACTAACACAATTGTAGGTTAAACTCGTTAAAAAGGGACCAATAGCTATTACTATTAGAGTTTTATACACGATTCATTTGAATTACCGCGATTTACAAAACAAAATTACAAAAGGGTGATTTTTAAAAAACAAAAAGAAAAATTTTGACATTGACAGCTGTCAAAATACGATACCGACATTGATACATTTAAACATCTTACATAATTTGTAGTTATTTTATAAATAATGAATGTCCGAGTTTTCTATCTCATCTATTTTTATTTAATGCTTTTACATTGTTGGTACATTTGAACTACTTTAATTATTTGATTAACAATTATTGTTTCACTATTTTTTAACAATTTGCTTTCAGTAAGTTTAACATCTGGTACATTTGAACTATTGCACTTAGATGTATTCAAAAATATGTTCTTCGTAGTTTTAACAATTTGTATTTTATTCAGCACCGATTTGGATGTAATTTAACGTCAGGTACATTAGAACTACTGAACTCAAACTTCTTCAAAATAGGCTCCCTACGTTTTTGCTAATTTTTATTTAATTTTGTACCAAATTTTATCAGTTTTAACGTTGGGTACATTTGAACTATTAACTCAATTGCGTGTTAAACCATTAAGAATATGAAACCATTTCGTACCAAATTTGATCAGTTTTAACGTTGGTTACATTTGAACTTATACGAAAAATTTTTATTTAAAAAAATAAGAAAACTATTTTTTTTTTTTTTCATTGTCATCCTTCAAATTTCAACTGATATTTTACATTTGAACTACTTAAACAAATTGTAGTTATTTTTTATTACTATAAATATCCGAGTTTTTTTAACTATTTTTATTATCTAATAGTTTTTAGTTTAGTCTTACATTTGAACTATTTTAATTATTTGATTTAAAATTACTTTTTAATGATTTCTTAGCAATTTGTTTCATTTAGCCACTGATTTTCGCAAATTTAACATTTGGTACATTTGAACTACCGCGCTTAGAAGTGTTCAAAAATTCTTTCTTTGTATTGTTAACAATTTTTATTTTATTAAGCACCAATTTTGATTAAATTTAACGTTTGGTACATTAGAAGTATCGCACTCAAACGTTTTCAAAATAACTTCGCATGTGTTGCTGTTTTTAAATAATTTGTATTTCATTTCGCATCAAATTTGATGAGTTTTACATCGGGTACATTTGAACTACTAACGCAATTAGGTAATAATTCATTAAGAATACCTAATATGCTTAAAAAGTGACCAATAGCTATTATTTGAGTTTTTATATACGATACATTTGAACTACCGCGATTAAGAAAACAAAATACGAAAGTTACATTTTTAAAAACAAGAAACCAAACTTTTTATATTTCAACACGCAATGATACTGACATCGATTTCTGACATTTTTGACACTGACCCTAAATATTTTGTATTTACCTCTAGACAGATACTCCATAAGTTTCTTCCTCTTGTCGTTTTCGCCCATGATATGTACGATTTGTTCCACCCTTTCAACGGGTTTACCAATGGAACCGATGTAAACCACAGCCGGTCTACGCAAATACGTTCTGGCTAACCTTTCGACCGCCGGAGGCATAGTGGCCGTAAACATCACCGTTTGTCGGTACTTTTTCTTGCTGTTATAGTTCGCCAAAAGCACTCTGAAACAAATTAATAAAAACGATTATAGTCTAGTCCGGTCTTGCCATAATCTCTTTTATTTATTATTTTTCCCTTTATCAAGAATATTCGATAAAATAAGTCAACCTCTAGAAAATGCTGAATGCGCCTGGTTGAGGTACCGATTCTTAGTCTAAAAACGTCTAGAACATTCTAGAAGCCACATATTATATGTATACGAGTGAAAATACTTCTTTGTCGTTGGAAGTTGACGTTAAAAATTCAGTTATTAACAGGTAATTTAAAAATCAACTTGTATAATTAATAACAGAACATGTTAAAGAAAAATTGTGGCAGCAATTACATTTTTCTGAGCTCACTCATGAAAAAACGAAAAGATTTTGTTGCCCTTAATTAAACGCCACGTGTAATTGTGAAACTTCAAACGATTGAAGAAAATGTATACCTGTCCACAGATCAATAAATTTGTATACAAAATAAGAATCTTTCAATAGCATTTAAGTAAACACCCAGAATTAAATTTCTTCTGAAATTTATTCCCATTGTGGTCCATTATCGTTTGTTTACACAAATATTGCCAATAAAAATTAGTGTACAAGGAAATTAGATATAAATTAATGTCTTGGTGAAAATAAATTAAATAACAAATTATTTAAATAAATAAACGTTACAATATTTTAATGATGGAAAGATATTTTTACCTGCTGTCTTCAGCTTCTTCTGAATCCGGTTTCAAATTGGTGACCGGCATGTACTCCAGAATCTTTTGGACGTCTGGTTCGAAACCCAAATCTATCATTCTGTCGGCTTCGTCGAGTACTATATAGGTACATTGGTTTAGCACTAAATAACGGTTTTCCAACACGTCTATAAGACGACCCGGCGTGGCTATAACTATCTCACAACCCATACGTAACCTAAGAAAATAAATAATATTAATTATGCTTTTTTATTTCCCTTTTCTACATTTATAGGAGAATTATATTTAACAGGCTATAAAAATAAAACAAAATTATTGATTAAAATAGTTTAAAATAAATTTAACAAGTGATACATTTAAACTACCGACTTAACTTTATTTTTAATTATTCAAACATCAACAATTTTATTGATTATTTTTTGTGTGCAACAGAAATTTAAATTTTCGGACATAATGTTTTCTCGTTCATTTTTTTTTTAATAACCTGTAGTTAATTAGGGACGAATTTAAATAAAATTTAGACGTTTTAACTGTTTTTAAAGTCGTTAAAAAATGATTTTTTACCGTTTTAACAATTTGTATTTCAATTCGCTACGAAATTGATGAAATTCAGCAATTTAACATCAGGTACATTTGAACTACTGCAATTACGATTATTAAAAATAAATGTTTAATGTCTTTTAGCAATTTGTATTTAATTTTATTGAAATTTAGGTTCCCGTACATTTGAACTACTGTTCTTAAAATTGTTCAATAACCATTCAGGACCGATTTCACCATTGTGTTAAACGAAGTTTAAATTACTAAACAAAGATTAAAATTAAATTTTTACACTAACAATGTTATTTTAATCTTCGTTTAGTAATTTAAACTTCGTTTAACATAACGGTCGAAGCGGCCCTTGTTACCTTTATTATACAATTTATATTTAATTTAACTTAAATTTTAAACCAATTTAGATTCGGTACATTTGAACAACTGTTTTCTAAAAGTTTTCAAAATTGCTTCTATCTTTTTAACAATATTTATTTTATTTCATAGTTTTATCAAAATTTAGTGTCCGGTACTTTCAAACCCGATTTGAAAATTTTTCTACAACTTATGTACTGTTTTTTACAAGTGTTACATTTGAACTAGTGCAATTAAATTATTAAAGAATTAATTTCTCTCTTAGCAATAATTTTTACATAATTTTGCAATTTTATAGAAATTTAGCATTCGGTACATTTGAACTACTGTTCTGAAAATTATGAAAAAACCAATTATTACCTTTATTATACAACTTGTATTTAATTTTAAATTTGCTAAGCCTCCGGTACACTTGATCTACCGTTTTATAAAAGTTTTCAATATTGCTTTTACCTTTTTTACTTAATTTCATACAGTTGTACTACTGATATTAAATATGTTTTAATGCCTTTTACTAATTTATACTTAATTTAACGATTTTAAAGAAAAGTTTATTAAAAAATCATTGATTTAATAAAAAATCACCATTTTTTGATTTTATTGTTGTTCATTTAATTTTTAAATTGTAATTAAGAATTTGAAACATTTTGCTTCAATTAATGAAAGCAGAAAAACTAGTGTTTGCTTAATATATAATGAAAATTTATAAACTTAAGTGTTACATACTTTTCAACTCATTTGTTTTTAAAATACTTTGATATTATTATATTTCTTTAAATAAAAAAAAATTAGATGTGATTTAAATCAAGATTTAGAAAATACCTGTCAGAAAATCGTAAAGAAACATACCTAAATCCTTGCTCCTCTCTGCTAAGACCACCCACAACCACCACAGTCCTAATACCCAATGGACCACCAAATTTAACAGTCTCCTCTTCGATCTGCTGAGCCAATTCACGAGTGGGTGCCATAATAATGGCGTACGGACCCTGATCAGCATCTTCGTTTCTCTCGATTTTCGGCAAACTCTGGATCCACGATAGCAACGGAATGAGAAAGGCCAATGTTTTACCGGAACCGGTTTCGGCCACGCCGATAATGTCTCTGTTTTGCATTCCGATCGGTATGGCTTGCCGTTGGATCGGCGTCGGATCTTTGTAGCCGATTTTATCGATTATTTCCAGTAGTTCCTTTTGGATGCCGGATTCTTTCCAGTTACGAATCGGTTCAGGGATTTTACCACCTAGAAAAGTGATTGGTCGAGATTAAAGACTAACTAAAAGCAAACTGTGCATTAGAGTGGTCACAAGAACTCAATGATTGATTTGATTGCAGAGGGGTCTTTCCAAACGTTGTCAATTAGCTGAGAAATTAGATTGGTAAAGTTTCAGGATAACCTGTGCCTAATCAAGGTTGAAATTTTTACTTTTTTTATGAATATGCCCAAAAACATTGCATGATTCAATTACAACTGCCCTCCAGATTTTGCTTTTCAATTTGTACATAAAAAAAGTTTTTTAATTAAAACTATTTTTAAAAGTAAATGCAGCAAAATCCAAACTGAAAATAAAATATTTAGGAGAAAACAAAAGCAAAAAAGGTATAAAATAGAGAAGAAAGTGTGTTCAAAACTATTTTAAAGGAATTATTTACATTATTTATAATTTATTATTTTTCCAGAAACAGCAATAACCTCTAGGATTAATTAGTTTTAGATGTATGTGTATTTTCCATATTTCCACTAAATTTGTATACTGTCTGTGGATATATTTATTCATACCTTTAATAGTGATGTTATAATCCTCCCTGAATATACGCCAATCCCTTTCTGTCATTTCAGGCTGCTCTTTTTCTGTCCAATGTCGATCATCCCACAGTTGTTTCTCTTCCCGTCTTCTTACTTTCTTAAGTCTAACCTTTTCTTGCGCTTTTTCAGCTTCCGTACGACGTTTTTCTAAGAGTTCACCATAAAATTTGCTTTGGTCCCGTTTTTGGGCCTTTATATCTATGCCCGCCAAATTACCTCGTCCGAAAAATTGAACCTAAGAAAATGATAAAATTTAAGGCTGGTTTTATGTGATTATTGGAGCGAACATAATGCATGTAAAAACATCGACTAGCCGTTCCATCTAGTTTAAAAAAAAATACATGAATTTGTGGGTTCTCAAATTTATTTTTATTTTATTTTATTTATTTACAGAAAATCCTTTTACAAAATAATTATTATCAGTAGATATTTTAAACCTAACCTAAAGTATCACAAAAAAAAAAGAAAAAAAACTTAAATATCTTAAATATCACAAAAAACTTAGCGCTAATAAGTACTCCCTCAGCTGATTTTTAAACCTATACTGACTAACTCCCAAAAGATCAGTGTGTCTGTTAATTTCATTTCCTTGCCTTTGAAATCTGGTTAAAGGACTGTTGAGTCCGTAGTTCGTATGATGGAAGCTAATTGAAAATAATTCTAATTCTCTCTAATATTTATGTTGTTTAATCTAAAGTTTATTAGCTCCAACATATCCGGACAAGCTATATTCCCTTCTAGGAGGTTATAAAGAAATAAAAGATCATTACTAATTAAGTTTTCTCAACTGACAATAAGTTTAAATGGTTATTAAGCTCCCTCAGAAAGATAAGGCATATGTAACCTCCACTGACAAGTTCTTAGAAACCTATTTTGAACTGCTTCTAAATTTAAAATATGAGTCCGGTAATGAGGTGACCAGACTGGTGAAGCATATAAGAGGATGCTGCGCACTAGTGTTAAGAAAAGGGTTCGGAATGTAGGCACAGAGAATTCCCTAGAGTTCCTGGTCACAAATCCCAATGTTTTCAGAGCTCTACTAATGATGGATCTCATGTGTGGGACAAATGTCAAAAAACTATCGAAGATCACACCTAGATCCTTGATTTCACTTAAGATTTCCATGAATAATTTCAGGTCATCGGCGAATAGTAGGAACTTACAATATTTAAATCCTGAAGCCACATTGTTAATAAATATATTAAATAGTAATGGTTCCAAATGAGATCCCTGGGGGACACCTGAACTTACATTTATTGGAATCAAAGTAAAACTTTTAACTTTGACATATTGAACCCTGGATTGCAGGTAACTTTCTAACCATTTCATTAAGTAGTTTGGAAACCCGAATTTCACTAGTTTGCTTAAAAGCAAATCATGGTTCACCATGTCAAATGCCTTCGAGAAGTTAGTGTAAATTGAGTCAACCTGACACCCCCTCTTGAAGGCAGAAATGATATAATGTTCATAGAGCAGTAAATTTGTATTAGTAGACTTACCTCCCATAAACCCATGTTGTTGTTCAATCAAAATGTTTATGCAATGCTATGACAAAGGTTTATATAACAATAATTCTAATAATTTAGGTATTGCAGAAAGTAAATCTACAGGGTGATAGTTAACTATGTCATCTTTCTGACCATTTTTAAATATGGGGGTAATGAAACTATCACACCATTTTGCAGGAAACTGTTGTAATTTCAAAGAGGAATTAAATAAAAACTGTAGTGGTTTGGAAAGAGTGAATTTACATTTTTTCAAAAAATAAGCAGGAATTCCATCTGGACCATAACTCAATTTATCTTTTAGGGAGTTAATACCATCACTTAAGGAAAACTGTATAAAGAGAATATCAGGCTGGTTAAAAGCATTATAATGAAGATTTGGCTCATCTACAATATCTATCTTATAAACACTGGAGAAATGCATAGCAAACAAATTACTGATGTCTTTCCCATTATCAGCAATTGTACCATTATAATACATTCTATTGGGAATACCATGGTCTTGTTTCAAAGAATTAATGTGGTTCCAGAAGTATTTTGTATTTTCACAAACCTTCAGATCTTACCAGAAATATAATTTTCATAATTTAGTTTTGATAAATTTTTACATTGAGACTGAAGGTTAGAAAAATTTAAGTAAACAACAGCTGAGCCAGAACTTTTGAATACAGCATGAGCTGCCTTCTTGCGAGAAATCAACTTTTTAAGTTCAGCTGAAAACCATCTAGGGTATACTGATGGTTTATATCTCCTAAGAGGTACAAATTTATTGACAATAGCAGCTGAAAGTATACATAAACTATGTTATGTGACAATTATTTATATAACGAAAACCATTTCCTAATTTTTGGCCGTTTTCATCAAAAATAAGAAAGAGACCTATCAATATTTTGTTTTTCTTAAAATTCTCATATTTACGCTATTCTTGAAGTTAGTTCAAAAAACTAGTCAATGAGACCTCTACAAACTGATATATTACATGATAATGATGGCTTAGAACTAATCTAGAACCACTGGAATAAAATGCTCAATTTTTTTCAAAAAACTATAAGTGATAAATGCTTACTTGATGTCTATCCTTGTACAAGTTATTATAATCCAAGGACGTATCCTCTCCTGCATCCCAATCGAAAACAAACTTCCTATCATTCAACCTCCTAACACGCCTCTTCTTCTTAACGAGCCCCAAATATCTTTCCTTAATAGCATCTTGCTCTTTTTCTTTATCCTTATCTTTCTGCTTCTCTTCCTCTCGCTCCCTATTTCTTCTATGGTCTCTATCATCCCTTTTTAGATCGTCATCTCGGCTGTTCTGCAGAGCTTCGACAATTTTACGTTCTTCGTCATGCTGTTTTCTCTGACGATCTATCTCTTCTTGACGACGTTTAATAGCTTCAGCCGCTCGTTGTTCTTTGGTAAGAAACACAGGTTTGCTCTTGGCTGCTTCCTCGGCTTTCTTTTTAGCTAGAAGTTCTTCTAAAGACAGCGGTTCCTTTTTCGCTGGTTCCTTTTTTACACCCACTTTTAGTTCTACTTTAACTTTGCTGTCCTCTTCTTCGATTTCTTCCTTTTTGGTGCCTTTATATTTCTTGTCTTTCTCTTCGTATTTATCTCGATCATTTCTTTGTTTATCTTTGTTGTCGTATTTGTTATTTGAATTGGAATAGTCCTTTTCTCTGGACCGAGAACGGTGCCTTCTGTGTCTGTCCGAGACTCTTTCTAGTCTCTCTTTATCGCGTTCTTTGCTTCTAGAACGGGATCTTTTGCGTTTATCACGATCTTTGTCGCGTTCGCGGCTACGAGATCGACGTTTTTTATCGTTACCCATCAAATTAGGCTCTAAATAAAAACGTTTTATAAACAAACTTATCACCTAACCTCTTTTTTGGCTAATCGTCATTCATGCGAAGTTAGCTACACGTCTACTGACAAAAACGTATGTCTGTGATTTACGGAAAGTAGTTTCAAGCCACATAAAATTACCCGATCAAACGAACTTGTGAAGTTCGATCGTAATTATATGAGGCGCTTCGTCCGAATAGATTACTTTATAATAACTTAGTAGTACCGGTTTTCGGTGCTAGATGGCACAACGTTCAAAGATAAAAAAACTTCTTTATCGGTTAAGTATGCTTACCTACTTTACCGATCCCTTTCACACGTCATAAAGTTTAAAGCAATTCAAAATTTGTTTTTCGATGTATACCTACCTGAAACAAATACAAATGGGTTGGGTAAAAATGGGATGGGAAGTAATCTATTCGGACGAAGCGCCTCATATAATTACGATCGAACTTCACAAGTTCGTTTGATCGGGTAATTATATTCGGCGCTTCGTCCGAATAGATTACTTTATAATAACTTAGTAGGCTGTTTAAAGTTACATTGTTTCAGGCTTAGGAAATGTATCAAGGTTATACAGTATCTTCTTTGATATTTCCTAGAAAAACAAAAGCTATTGTTTTTAAGCCTATGGTAAAAACAAGCAAAAATTTTATAAACAATCTAACCTACTATGTAAACAGAAAAAGTATCTTTTTTAAGGTTCTATGATGAGAATGTAAAACAATTAATACCTAATTATTGCTTCTGCAAATCTGGATTCTTCCAGAGGCCTGTTGTAAAAATTTATAAAAGCTTTCCACAGAATGTCTCCTGGAATAAGGCAGAAAATCTAGCAGTACCTACCTATTTATCTGCGTCGCTGCTTTGTCTTTCTTAAAACAATTTGATGTATGTTTTAGGTTCCCACTTTTAGTATGGTGGTAAACTGGCAATTAATAAAAATTCCTAGTTTTCCTGATTTAAGCTTTTCATTAATTAATATAGGTACTCTACCGTTTATGTACGATGCTCTAGCTGAGTAGTAGCGATGCAGATCCTAGAAGATTTTCTACGAGATATTACCAACTCCAACAAATCTTACAAGTTTTAGAATCTTTCTGTTTTGATGTTTTTATGAGCACTGGAATTAATATTTGGATCAACCCTTTGATTACGATATTTTGTATTTTATTAGTTTGTTTGCATAGCCAGTTATTATCAGGGAAATTAAGATTGTGGTCTTTTGGACTAACTGTTCCAGTGACAACTGTTCTGGTAAATTATTCAAATAATCCAACACTTTTCAAAGATTTCAAGAAAAATTATAACGTGATTTTGTAGGCCTTAACTTAGACATACCTTTTTGTGTGGCATTTTACATTTATATCGGCTTCAATATGTTAGCTTTTAGGTATTAGTAAAATATATTACTAACTACACTAACGAAAGCTTGTTCGTATAGCCAGCTGCGTTTTGTACAAAATTTATTACTTATTTTCTACAAGAATAATTCCACCAGGCCAGACCGCCATGCCCTAGGGGGGGCAACTGTATTGTAAAATATTTTTTGATAGTGAGTTTAGCATTTGTATCACCTAGGCCTACCTCGAGTATATTTTTTAGACTAAATCCTTGTTGGATAGTTTCTCCAATCGGTCGCCGACCTGTGGGTGTGCGATTACCTCAAAAGATGTTACTGTTAGAAACCAGGGTTGTGTTGGTCAGTAAGAGACAATCATTATTCCTGAAGACTTATTAATGATAATTTTTCTTAGTACTTAAGACTATTGGAAAAGGAGGAAATGCATAGGTTTTAGTTGGATACAAATATATTTCTAGGTATAGTAGAGGAGTTCCATCTTTTCTTGTTACGTATTTTATTAAATACTGACTTATCTAACTCCCATATTGTTTCCAAAGAAGTCTGACACGTGACCCCTATCTGCTTTATTTTCTACTGAACAAATATAGGTATATGAAATGTAAGTAGAAAAGATGCGCATATAAGTACACTATGCTTGAATCCAGTAATTTTTTGATTCACACCAGCTCCAAATCTTTAGCAAATATAATATATTTATTGTATTAAGTCAATAGAAAATGTATTTTTTATGGTAAATAAATATTATTATAACTTCATCCAGATATTTATGATTTATAGATACCTACTGTCCTTTTTTGTTTACTTACAAAAATATATATAAAGTGGTAGTGGTTATCACACCTCACGAATATATTTGCAAAATTACAATTTTGAGCAAGACATTTTTGGGGCATAATAGAATGCAACAAACTATAAATGATTACAATATGATATTCATATTATTAATAATTGTTATCGTATTCTTCTCCTAGAGCTAAAACTTTTTCTTTTTCTAAAGACTTGATGTATAAACGACTATATATTTTTCAGCTGGCATAGCAGATACCAGGAGATCAATAACAGGAGCAAAAAAAAAACCTTATTTTTCATTATTTAATTTTGTGACTGCTTTGAAACTAATCATTTTCTTTTCTTCGGCTAGTAGGTACAATCGACATAAGATTTTCAGTATTTACAACGGTGAAGGCTAACCCTAAAAAATTTATAATGTTTGCTAGGAACTAAACTAAGTACTTTTTTGAAGTTCATTGTGAATCCAAGATTTTCCAAGTTTCCTATTATAATTTTAGTTTGTAAAGCATATAATTCTGATTTCGCCATTATTAGACCATCGTCTAAGTAAACTGAACAACTAAGTGTCAATTTCTCTTAAAAAGGCAAATGTTTTCATAAATTTACTAATTAAAGATATCTTAAACATTTTGTAGATTTATGAATTGGTATTTGGAAATTAATAGCCATCTTTTAAGTCTGTACACATCGAGATAGCCAACAGAGTGACTGTACTTACATATAAATGAATTTTGTGATAATTTTACGATTCTTTAATCTTCCATTTTGAAATGGTCAGGTAAAATATAGTTAGAATAAATCAATTTTACCACTCCATTTTTTAACTAGGAAAAAACGGGCGCAATAAACTAATTTTTTGATGCACCCTTGCTTTTAAAGTCCTTTAAGAAATTTTCAATTAATGGTTTGTCTTTAATGACAATCTTTGATGAAAAATTTCTATGTGGGGAGTTTATGTGGAGTTTTGTAACAATTCAGGCAATCTAAGGGATTTGGTTTAAGGCTTTTCCATTCAGATATAACATTTTAATTACCCTGCTTTTAAACCTACCTTTAATATTTGTTTTGAGGGTAGCACAGACAAGAATAGTTCATCTTCCTTTTTCTGTGCAACAGAGAAGGGGTCTCTGTCCAGTTTTTCTGCCTCCCCCTCCCCCTGGTGCAAAATAGGCTCCTCCAGTTTCCCGAAATATTGAAAGCTGGGTTTTTCTGGACTGTTTTTAGAAGTAGTGTTGTAAAAATACATCACGACTGATTTGTCTATTACCTTTTGGGTTTTATATTAATTTCCAGGGTTAGAACCATATTGTATTGCATTATTTGTATTTTAACTATTATTTTGATTAATTTTAATTAAATATATTATTGTATATCAAACATTATACCTAACTGAATGGAGAATTTCTGTTTATATATAAGTAAATACAGGAATTTATCAATTTCATTTTTATTTGCAGAGCTGTTACCAAAGAATCATTTGATATTTTATAGAAAAATCTGCGAAGGGTTTTCCCAGACTATTTTTTATGTCTCATTGTTAGATGACAAGAATATATTTATAACCTTACCAATACTGGACACTCCCAGACTTAATTTTATTGACTTTATATGTCAGTTAAATATTTTTGATATATTTCTGGGGATTTTAATAGAGGACAAATATTTATTTTTTCCTTGCCTAATCTTTTAAAATTAAAGACAACTTTTTTCCAATGTAAGGATTAAACACCATTTTTGTTTTCAATATCCAGGTCGTCTCCTAGACGAGCTAGTATCAGTGTCTAGCTCTAGGAAGTGCGGCTTTGTAGTTCAAGGACTTTAGCCAGAACTCTCTTTTTCCGTGGTTGATGAACTTTTGCCACAACACTACGAATTGAGTTTGAGGACGCCGGGCCACAAGTTGGGCCGCGGACGGATATATAGTATGTAGCAACTTACTGGGGATGTACGGCTTTGTGGTTCAAGGACTTTAGCCAGAACACTTCTTTTTCCGTGATTAATGAACTTTTGCTCCAACACTATGAACTGAGTTTGAGGACGCCGGGCCACAAGTTGGGCCGCGGACGGATATATAGTATGTAGCAACTTACTGGGGATGTACGGCTTTGTGGTTCAAGGACTTTAGCCAGAACACTTCTTTTTCCGTGATTAATGAACTTTTGCCCCAACACTATGAACTGAGTTTGAGGACGCCGGGCCACTAGTTGGGCCGCGGACGGATATATAGTATGTAGCAACTTACTGGGGATGTACAGCTTTGTGGTTCAAGGACTTTAGCCAGAACACTTCTTTTGCCGTGATTAATGAACTTTTGCCCCAACACTATGTCCTATTACCTCAATATCATTATTAATCAACATATTTTTCAGTGCAGTTAGCGGCCTTCTATGCAAGGGTGAGCGAGAAATAGAAGACGACCTTTTCCTCTTCTTATGTTCTCCCATTTTACCTTAAAAATAAATATTATTAAATACAACTAATTATAAAATTTTAGAGATAAAACTTCTCTATTCCTAAAAGAACGTGTATACCATCTTGGCACAAAAAACGTTATGACGTGTGAAAGGGATCGGTAAAGTAGGTAAGCATACTTAACCGATAAAGAAGTTTTTTTATCTTTGAACGTTGTGCCATCTAGCACCGAAAACCGGTACTACTAAGTTATTATAAAGTAATCTATTCGGACGAAGCGCCGAATATAATTTAAAAATTTGATTAATGAATTACAATTATTAAATTTGAATATTAATTTTATGTACATATATAATGGGTCCTATGATTGAACGTTTACGTTATCCGTAACGTACATGTTAGGCTCAGTTTTAACAGTAATTAGGCAAGTTCGTATGATGAAAAACGGTTTCCAATACATTATTATATTCGGCGCTTCGTCCGAATAGATTACTTTATAATAACTTAGTAGTACCGGTTTTCGGTGCTAGATGGCACAACGTTCAAAGATAAAAAAACTTCTTTATCGGTTAAGTATGCTTACCTACTTTACCGATCCCTTTCACACGTCATAACGTTTTTTGTGCCAAGATGGTATACACGTTCTTTTAGGAATAGAGAAGTTTTATCTCTAAAATTTTATAATTAGTTGTATTTAATAATATTTATTTTTAAGGTAAAATGGGAAAACATAAGAAGAGGAAAAGGTCGTCTTCTATTTCTCGCTCACCCTTGCATAGAAGGCCGCTAACTGCACTGAAAAATATGTTGATTAATAATGATATTGAGGTAATAGGACATAGTGTTGGGGCAAAAGTTCATTAATCACGGCAAAAGAAGTGTTCTGGCTAAAGTCCTTGAACCACAAAGCTGTACATCCCCAGTAAGTTGCTACATACTATATATCCGTCCGCGGCCCAACTAGTGGCCCGGCGTCCTCAAACTCAGTTCATAGTGTTGGGGCAAAAGTTCATTAATCACGGAAAAAGAAGTGTTCTGGCTAAAGTCCTTGAACCACAAAGCCGTACATCCCCAGTAAGTTGCTACATACTATATATCCGTCCGCGGCCCAACTTGTGGCCCGGCGTCCTCAAACTCAGTTCATAGTGTTGGAGCAAAAGTTCATTAATCACGGAAAAAGAAGTGTTCTGGCTAAAGTCCTTGAACCACAAAGCCGTACATCCCCAGTAAGTTGCTACATACTATATATCCGTCCGCGGCCCAACTTGTGGCCCGGCGTCCTCAAACTCAATTCGTAGTGTTGTGGCAAAAGTTCATCAACCACGGAAAAAGAGAGTTCTGGCTAAAGTCCTTGAACTACAAAGCCGCACTTCCTAGAGCTAGACACTGATACTAGCTCGTCTAGGAGACGACCTGGATATTGAAAACAAAAATGGTGTTTAATCCTTACATTGGAAAAAAGTTGTCTTTAATTTTAAAAGATTAGGCAAGGAAAAAATAAATATTTGTCCTCTATTAAAATCCCCAGAAATATATCAAAAATATTTAACTGACATATAAAGTCAATAAAATTAAGTCTGGGAGTGTCCAGTATTGGTAAGGTTATAAATATATTCTTGTCATCTAACAATGAGACATAAAAAATAGTCTGGGAAAACCCTTCGCAGATTTTTCTATAAAATATCAAATGATTCTTTGGTAACAGCTCTGCAAATAAAAATGAAATTGATAAATTCCTGTATTTACTTATATATAAACAGAAATTCTCCATTCAGTTAGGTATAATGTTTGATATACAATAATATATTTAATTAAAATTAATCAAAATAATAGTTAAAATACAAATAATGCAATACAATATGGTTCTAACCCTGGAAATTAATATAAAACCCAAAAGGTAATAGACAAATCAGTCGTGATGTATTTTTACAACACTACTTCTAAAAACAGTCCAGAAAAACCCAGCTTTCAATATTTCGGGAAACTGGAGGAGCCTATTTTGCACCAGGGGGAGGGGGAGGCAGAAAAACTGGACAGAGACCCCTTCTCTGTTGCACAGAAAAAGGAAGATGAACTATTCTTGTCTGTGCTACCCTCAAAACAAATATTAAAGGTAGGTTTAAAAGCAGGGTAATTAAAATGTTATATCTGAATGGAAAAGCCTTAAACCAAATCCCTTAGATTGCCTGAATTGTTACAAAACTCCACATAAACTCCCCACATAGAAATTTTTCATCAAAGATTGTCATTAAAGACAAACCATTAATTGAAAATTTCTTAAAGGACTTTAAAAGCAAGGGTGCATCAAAAAATTAGTTTATTGCGCCCGTTTTTTCCTAGTTAAAAAATGGAGTGGTAAAATTGATTTATTCTAACTATATTTTACCTGACCATTTCAAAATGGAAGATTAAAGAATCGTAAAATTATCACAAAATTCATTTATATGTAAGTACAGTCACTCTGTTGGCTATCTCGATGTGTACAGACTTAAAAGATGGCTATTAATTTCCAAATACCAATTCATAAATCTACAAAATGTTTAAGATATCTTTAATTAGTAAATTTATGAAAACATTTGCCTTTTTAAGAGAAATTGACACTTAGTTGTTCAGTTTACTTAGACGATGGTCTAATAATGGCGAAATCAGAATTATATGCTTTACAAACTAAAATTATAATAGGAAACTTGGAAAATCTTGGATTCACAATGAACTTCAAAAAAGTACTTAGTTTAGTTCCTAGCAAACATTATAAATTTTTTAGGGTTAGCCTTCACCGTTGTAAATACTGAAAATCTTATGTCGATTGTACCTACTAGCCGAAGAAAAGAAAATGATTAGTTTCAAAGCAGTCACAAAATTAAATAATGAAAAATAAGGTTTTTTTTTTGCTCCTGTTATTGATCTCCTGGTATCTGCTATGCCAGCTGAAAAATATATAGTCGTTTATACATCAAGTCTTTAGAAAAAGAAAAAGTTTTAGCTCTAGGAGAAGAATACGATAACAATTATTAATAATATGAATATCATATTGTAATCATTTATAGTTTGTTGCATTCTATTATGCCCCAAAAATGTCTTGCTCAAAATTGTAATTTTGCAAATATATTCGTGAGGTGTGATAACCACTACCACTTTATATATATTTTTGTAAGTAAACAAAAAAGGACAGTAGGTATCTATAAATCATAAATATCTGGATGAAGTTATAATAATATTTATTTACCATAAAAAATACATTTTCTATTGACTTAATACAATAAATATATTATATTTGCTAAAGATTTGGAGCTGGTGTGAATCAAAAAATTACTGGATTCAAGCATAGTGTACTTATATGCGCATCTTTTCTACTTACATTTCATATACCTATATTTGTTCAGTAGAAAATAAAGCAGATAGGGGTCACGTGTCAGACTTCTTTGGAAACAATATGGGAGTTAGATAAGTCAGTATTTAATAAAATACGTAACAAGAAAAGATGGAACTCCTCTACTATACCTAGAAATATATTTGTATCCAACTAAAACCTATGCATTTCCTCCTTTTCCAATAGTCTTAAGTACTAAGAAAAATTATCATTAATAAGTCTTCAGGAATAATGATTGTCTCTTACTGACCAACACAACCCTGGTTTCTAACAGTAACATCTTTTGAGGTAATCGCACACCCACAGGTCGGCGACCGATTGGAGAAACTATCCAACAAGGATTTAGTCTAAAAAATATACTCGAGGTAGGCCTAGGTGATACAAATGCTAAACTCACTATCAAAAAATATTTTACAATACAGTTGCCCCCCCTAGGGCATGGCGGTCTGGCCTGGTGGAATTATTCTTGTAGAAAATAAGTAATAAATTTTGTACAAAACGCAGCTGGCTATACGAACAAGCTTTCGTTAGTGTAGTTAGTAATATATTTTACTAATACCTAAAAGCTAACATATTGAAGCCGATATAAATGTAAAATGCCACACAAAAAGGTATGTCTAAGTTAAGGCCTACAAAATCACGTTATAATTTTTCTTGAAATCTTTGAAAAGTGTTGGATTATTTGAATAATTTACCAGAACAGTTGTCACTGGAACAGTTAGTCCAAAAGACCACAATCTTAATTTCCCTGATAATAACTGGCTATGCAAACAAACTAATAAAATACAAAATATCGTAATCAAAGGGTTGATCCAAATATTAATTCCAGTGCTCATAAAAACATCAAAACAGAAAGATTCTAAAACTTGTAAGATTTGTTGGAGTTGGTAATATCTCGTAGAAAATCTTCTAGGATCTGCATCGCTACTACTCAGCTAGAGCATCGTACATAAACGGTAGAGTACCTATATTAATTAATGAAAAGCTTAAATCAGGAAAACTAGGAATTTTTATTAATTGCCAGTTTACCACCATACTAAAAGTGGGAACCTAAAACATACATCAAATTGTTTTAAGAAAGACAAAGCAGCGACGCAGATAAATAGGTAGGTACTGCTAGATTTTCTGCCTTATTCCAGGAGACATTCTGTGGAAAGCTTTTATAAATTTTTACAACAGGCCTCTGGAAGAATCCAGATTTGCAGAAGCAATAATTAGGTATTAATTGTTTTACATTCTCATCATAGAACCTTAAAAAAGATACTTTTTCTGTTTACATAGTAGGTTAGATTGTTTATAAAATTTTTGCTTGTTTTTACCATAGGCTTAAAAACAATAGCTTTTGTTTTTCTAGGAAATATCAAAGAAGATACTGTATAACCTTGATACATTTCCTAAGCCTGAAACAATGTAACTTTAAACAGCCTACTAAGTTATTATAAAGTAATCTATTCGGACGAAGCGCCGAATATAATTACCCGATCAAACGAACTTGTGAAGTTCGATCGTAATTATATGAGGCGCTTCGTCCGAATAGATTACTTCCCATCCCATTTTTACCCAACCCATTTGTATTTGTTTCAGGTAGGTATACATCGAAAAACAAATTTTGAATTGCTTTAAACTTTATGACGTGTGAAAGGGATCGGTAAAGTAGGTAAGCATACTTAACCGATAAAGAAGTTTTTTTATCTTTGAACGTTGTGCCATCTAGCACCGAAAACCGGTACTACTAAGTTATTATAAAGTAATCTATTCGGACGAAGCGCCTCATATAATTACGATCGAACTTCACAAGTTCGTTTGATCGGGTAACTGTTATTTTCCGCCTGTTATGTTCTAATTTAACAGTTTTCCATCGTACAAACTTGCTTCGTTACTGTTAAAATTCGACCTAACATGTACGTTATGGATAACATAAATGTTCAATCATAGGACCCATTGAAATTATTTTTATAATAATAAATGTTATGGGCATACTTATCAGAATTATTATTTATACAGCTGTATACTTATAAAGTCGAATTATCAAAAAAGAAGATTAACCTGTCATTTTTTATATTTGTCTTGTCATGTCAAGATTGTCAAGATTCCATTCACATTCCATATTTGTCAACATTTTATCGTGATGGCAAGTACTAGCAGGTAAATTACTTTGATTTGTATTCGTTAAATAAGTCTAAATGCATTGATTATCACTCATAATGAAATATAAATACACAAAAATTTTAATGTTCACTGCAGTCACTTTTTTATAAAGGTTAAAATGCTTTTATTGCAATTTTTTAGGTACGATACTAATAAAGTATGCTGTAGCTCTCATCCAGATGCTCCTCTCATAGAAGATCACAGAGCTGGTGATCAGATATGTTCTGAATGCGGATTGGTAGTCGGAGACAGGTCAGTTAGCACTATATAGTTACTGTAATTGCATAAAAGCTTATGGTTTACTTTTAAGAGGTTTTATAATTTATAAATAAACTTTCAGGGTAATCGATGTTGGTTCAGAATGGAGAACATTCAGCAATGAAAAAAATGGTATAGATCCATCTCGTGTGGGTGGACCCGAAAATCCCCTTTTGGGGGGCTCAGACTTGACCACAATCATTGGACCAGGAAGAGGTATTGTACAAATATTTATGATTAAAGTTTAAAACATGCATTTGCAATCTTTAAAATCCTACATAGTTGATTATCAGCAATATATGAGTGAATAAATCAAAAATGTGTTAAGATGATTATTGGAAAACTTCATAAAATGCTGAATTATTTAAAATTGTTTTTGGATCGATTGTATCTGATAAATTCCATTTATATTCTTCAGAATGCTGCCTGATTATTAGTATTAAGTTATGTAGTTCATTCATATTTCACAAATGTGGCATTCCATAGGAGAAAGTGCTTTTTTTTCTCTCTCTCATACACATACAATTTACTTTTCTCTTCCACTACTCCTCATGTAGACTGCACAACTTATTGATTGCAAGTACTTTTACAAAAAAAAATTATAATAAGGGTTTTAATCACCACATAAGTCCTAAATTGGACATCATTTTAACCATTAAATATTTATATCATTTTAACTTATATAATCGACCAATAGATTGTACACAAATCAATCTCCAGTCAGGAGCAATACCTTAACACATGTTGGAAACTAAACACCTGCTTTTATAAGATCATCTCGCAAGTCATTATAACAAAAAACTCTTACAGTCGAAAAATATGTGATCAAGATCTGTAACTTCATTATCAAAGGAACAGTGGGAATACCTATGCATTTTCAATTGAGTAATTAACACTGACTCCAATGTGTTTCACATGTGATACATAATTTGTCTGTCTTCATGAACCATAAAAGAAATTTTGAAGATTTCTGAGTACCAATTAGTTTTGACTTAAATTTTAACTTCTTAGTAGTAGATAGGGTATAGATATGTAAAATTGTATAATTCAGTACATTAAATACAATAAACTACAATTTTTGTATACTTTTATGTACATCACTGGTGATGTCCACTTTATCTATAGATTGCATATTTAATTCCACTACTGGCTATTCAGTTTAAATTCCTTTAAGTTGGAACCATTATTTTTAAAGCTGATTGCAATAAGCAATGCTCAATATCACCAGTGATACACACAGTACAAAAGGGGCCCCAACTGAACATATCACTGGTGACTCATATGGTACCACAGAATAGAATCGTGAAATTTGAACTTGGGAGTCTACCCCATTTTTAGGCATAAGGATGGCCAAGAGTAATAGTCAGTCACCCCTTTTATCTCAGGGACTGACTTTTCTTTTCTGAGCATTATTATTGCTGTTATCAAATAGTTATCACAGTTAACAACTAACTAAATTCTTTTTTTTACCAAGAACACTGTATTTCAACTCTCCAAAAAATGGCTAAATCGTTTTTTACAATTTTTCAAAAACCCTGAAATTTCGAAAATGTTTCTATCGACGCCCTAATTTTTAGATACATTTTTGATTAATTTACATCGAAAATGCAGGACCTAATATCTCTTATAAATGAAAAATCGTTTTTTAAATTTTACAAAATTTCCAAAACCCTGTAATTTCGAAAATTTTGTTTTTATTAAAGCCCTAATTTTGTAGGTGCATTTTTCAATTAGTTTTACGTCAGAAATGTTTGGCTAATCATTCCATATGTTAAAAAATCTTTTTAAAATTTTCAAAATCCCTGGAATTTCGAAAATTTTGATTCTATTGAAACCCTATATTTTAGGTACATTTATTGATAAATTTCACATCGGAAATGTATGCCTAATGACAACGCATGCATTGAAATCTCGTTTTTTTTTTCTTTCAAATTATCAAAAACCCTGGAATTTTAAAAAATGTTCTATTGCAAGCCTAATTTTTATGTGTATTTTTCGATTAATTTAACGTCAGAAACATATAGCTAATGACCAAATTTTCAAAAACCCTGGAATTAAAAAAAAAATGTCTTTATCGAAGCCCTAATATTTATTTTATGGCTAATTGCTAAATTTTCGATATATTTATCGTCGGAAATGTATGGCTAATGGCAGCACGCCTTAAAAAATCGTTTATTAAATTAAATAAAATTTTGATGACTTCTCATACGTTGAAAAATGGTTTATTAAATTTTGAAAAATTTTCAAACCCTGAAATTTACAGGTAACCCTGATCAATTTTAGTCACATTTTCTTTTGTTTCAAAATGGGAGTTGGTTTACCTTATACACTACCGTAACTAAGAAGTAATGAATATGTTTTAGGCGATGCAAGCTTCGATTCTTTTGGAGTTTCGCGATACCAAAACCGCCGAACCATGAACAGCTCCGACAGAGCCTTGATAAACGCATTCAAAGAAATTAACGCCATGGCCGACCGCATCAATCTACCAAGGACCATTGTCGACAGGGCCAACAATCTCTTTAAACAAGTACATGATGGAAGAAATCTCAAAGGTAATTTTTTAGCAATAACAATAAAAAAGAATGGGGTCATATCTGGTCGACTTGTTGGATAGAATGTTTCTTATTTTTCAGCGATAATTTAAAACAAAAATCGATTGAGGTCAAATCTGGTCGACATGTTGTATACGTTTCTTATTTAGCCATAATTTAAAAAATTGATCAGGATCAAATCTGTGTGACGTATTGGATACAATTTGATTATTTAGCCATAGTTTAAAAAATCGATTGAGGTCAAACCCGGTCGACATGTTGTATACAATACGTTTCTTATTTGGCCATAAGTTAAAAAAATCTGTTGGGATAAAATCTGGTTGACGTGTTGGATACGAGACGTTTCTTATTATTTTGCCGTAATTAAAAAGTCAAATAGTGTCAAATCTGGTCTACATGTTGCATACAGTATGGTTCTAACTATTTAGCCATAATTTAAAAAATCGATTTTGGTCAAATCTGGTCGTGGTGTTGGATACAATAAATTTATTTAGTCATAACTTAAAAAAAATCGATTGGGGTAAAATCTGGATGACGTATTGGATACGTTTCTTATAATTTTTCCATAATTAAAAAAAATCGATTGGCATCAAATCTGGTCTACGTGTTGGATACAATATGGGTCTCATTGTTTAGCCACAATTTAAAAAATCGATTGGGGTCAAATCTGGTCGTGATGTTGGATACAATAAATTTATTTGGTCATAATTTAAAAAAAATCGATTGGGGTCAAATCTGGTCGACGTGTTGGATACAATACGTTTCTCATTATTTAGCCATAATTAAAAAAATCTGTTGGAGTCAAATCTGGTCGTGGTGTTGGATACAATAAATTCCTTATTTATTCACAATTTAAAAAAAAATCAATTGGGGTAAAATCTAGTTGACGTGTTGGATACGTTCCTTATCATTTTTCCATAATTAAAAAATCTATTGGTGTCAAATCTGGTCTACGTGTTGGATACAATATGGTTCTCATTATTTAGCCATAATTTAAAAAATCGATTGGGGTCAAATCTGATCGTGATGTTGGATACAATAAATTATTGGGGTCAAATCTGGTCGTGATGTTGGATACAATAAATTCCTTATTTATTCATAATTTAAAAAAAAATCGATTGGGGTAAAATCTGGTTGACGTGTTGGATACGTTCTTTATCATTTTTCCATAATTAAAAAATATATTGGCGTCAAATCTGGTCTACGTGTTGGATACAATATGGTTCTCATTATTTAGCCATAATTTTAAAAATATATTGGGGTCAAATCTGGTCGTGGTGTTGGATACAATACATTTCTTATTCAGTCATAATTAAAAAAAAATCGATTGGGGTCAAATCTGGTCGACATGTTATATACAATACGTTTCTTATTTGGCCATATTTAAAAAAATCTATTGGGATAAAATCTGGTTGACGTGTTGGATACGAGAAATTTCTTATTATTTTGCCGTAATTAAAAAAATCAAATAGTGTTCTGGTCTAAATGTTGCATACAATATGGTTCTAATTATTTAGCCATAATTTAAAAAATCAATTGGGGTCAAATCTGGTCTTGGTGTTGGATACAATAAATTCCTTATTTATTCATAATTTACAAAAAATCGATTGGGGTAAAATCTGGTTGACGTGTTGGATACGTTCCTTATCATTTTTCCATAATTAAAAAATCTATTGGCATCAAATCTGGTCTACGTGTTGGATACAATATGGTTCTCATTATTTAGCTATAATTTAAAAAATCAATTGGGGTCAAATCTGGTCGTGATGTTGGATACAATAAATTTCTTATTTGGTCATAATATGAAAAAAATCAATTGGGGTCAAATCTGGTCGACGTGTTGGATACAATACGTTTCTCATTATTTAGCCATAATTTAAAAAATCTATTGTGGTCAAATCTGGTCGTGGTGTTGGATACAATCAATTTCTTATTCGGTCATAATTACAAAAATCGATTGGGGTCAAATCTGGTTGACGTGTTGGATACAATACGTTTCTTATCATTTTGCCATAATTAAAAATCGACTGCCGTCAATTCTGGTCTATATGTTGGATACAATATGTTTATAATTCTAGGTCGTTCAAACGATGCTATAGCGTCCGCCTGCCTCTACATAGCCTGCAGACAGGAGGGCGTGCCGAGGACGTTTAAAGAAATTTGTGCAGTCAGCAAAATTAGTAAGCGCGAAATCGGTCGGTGTTTCAAGTTGATCCTCAAAGCGTTGGAAACGTCCGTCGATCTCATTACCACCGGAGATTTCATGTCCAGATTCTGTTCGAATCTCTGTTTGCCCAATATGGTGCAGAGGGCGGCTACGCATATCGCTAGGAGGGCCGTGGATATGGATATAGTGCCTGGAAGGTCGCCCATTTCGGTGGCCGCTGCTGCTATATATATGGCCTCGCAGGTAACATTGTTAAATCGCTTTGGTATTTAAAAAAAATATAATCAAGATTTTTTCAACTATTTCGTAGCATAAAAAAGTTGATTAGGTCCTACCGACTGCGCCAATTCATCAAAAATAATTCTTTTTTTAGGCTTCGGAAGATAAGAGAAGCCAAAAAGAGATTGGGGACATCGCAGGAGTGGCCGATGTCACCATTAGACAATCGTACAAACTTATGTACCCGCACGCAGCTGGTCTCTTCCCACAAGACTTCAAATTCGCCACGCCCATTGAGCAACTTCCTCAGATGTAGATATTTTATGCAAGCACTTTTATGAATTTTTTTAGGTTAGCGCTGCATTAGGCAGAACTTCAGCTGCCGAAAATGAGCTGCAGATCTTTAAGGTTAGCGCTATATTGTGCAGAAGTTGACCCGTCGAAAATGAGCTGCAGATCTTTGCGTGGTAAATTCAAATACCAGGAGTTTTAATGGATCGTCTAATATAGCATCAGCCTTAGTTTTGATGGTTTCTATATGAAGCAAACTCGTATATAAGTTGATTTTTTTGGGGTTTTTAATTTCGGACTACAAATATTTTTCAGTAGTCCAGAATATTGTCTTTTTTTGCGATTCTTGATGGAATATTTCTATTAGTGAACAATTCTCAAGACTATAAATGCCAGTAATAGTATGTGAGATTGTTTTTCTGAATAATTTTATTAATGCTGATTACTTTTATAGTCTAAGAGATTTTTTACTTTTCTGTAATATTTTAGTGTTTTAACTTATGTTCTCATATTTTTTTTTTGGTGCAGCATTCAAACTTTTTATTTATGAAAATTCAATACCTATACAAGTCCAGATTGTCAGTACTGTTTTAAGACTATATATAATAGATAGATAATTTCGATAGGAACAATATAAGGTGTTTAGTTGTTTGTTTTTAGATAGTTGGTTGTTTTTGCAGTATTTTTGTGTTTTAAAAAAACTTTTAAATGTTAGGCTAACAGGATCTAAAAACAAAAGTTGGATATTTTTATAAAGTTATTATATTATGTCACTTAGGAATTAAAATTGTTTTTGTACATTGTGTTTATTTTCCCCAATCGTTTTATCCTTTACCTTTGATTAACAAGCTGTCAAAAGCAATTTACAAAAAATTCCTCTGGTGCCAAATATATGAGCGGTCGGATTTTTTTATTTTATTAAACGATCCTGGGAACTGGCATTGATAGGAGCGTATACCACAACAATCGTATATCGTGGTGAAAGCCGATCTAATTAAGACCTCTGGCAAAATAAATATAGGAAATATTTAATTGAGTAAGGGGTTGTCCATGATCATTGTGACAAACCAAGTGGACTTATGACTACTGTGGCAATCAACCCGGTAGTAATAACTTTTTATGCATAATATATTTGAACTACTCTAATTAACAGCTTACCAGATGATTAATTTCCATTTTTACTTTCCTGTAATTAGTAAGGAAAGTAAAAAAAATAATTTGGACTACTAGATTTAATAGAGGTTGATTGGTAAAAAAACGAATTGCTACTGTTTTTATTGCGGTGCATTTAAACTACTACAATTAACAGCTTCACAAGTTCTTAATTTGCTTTTTTCGGCATTTTTGTACCATTTCGTGATATTTTGCAGAAAATCCTACATTTGGTATATTTGAACTACACCTTAAATCGTCACCTTTGTACCTTGTACAGATCCTTGGGTGAGTGGGTTCTATACATTGTTGGATCAACCTGGGGTTGTCCAAAAAGAGTCTGTCTTTTGCGATCTAGAGCTTCGCATTCGCACAGTATGTGTTTGGCCGTTTCTGGTTTCTTGTGACATAGTCGGCACATGAGTTCCCCATTGTACATGCCAATTTTGTTGAAGTGTCCCTTTACTAGGGCGTGTCCAGTCATGAACCATGTTATCACTTGAAAATGAAAATTCTCGACTGCAGTCTAATGGAGTGATTAGGACACAAATTTCGATCGAACTCAATTACAGCGGGTCGAGCATGAGTAGATGCGATAGTGGTATCGCCATCTATACTTAGTAAGCAGAATCAAATAACATCTAGTGGATATCCACGATGGTTTGCGTTCGCGCCTAGACTTTGATATATTTAGTGGATGTTCATGGGATATTGAATACACCTTAAAAAAAATAATTTTAAATATCTGAACGGTACTATTAAGCACAATGGCGTAATTTTTTAATAATTTGCTACATAATTACTATTATTTATGGACATTTGCATGTCTATAAATTACATTTCATGGATATAAAATAGATATCTACCATGGACTGGACATTCAGTGGATATTGGGATGTTCAGTAGATATCCAAAGGATTTGGTGTGCTGTCTGGGACATTACTATAATTTTTATCGCGTTACATTTGAACTACTGTAACAGCTTCACAAGTTATTAGTTTATCTTTTTTCGGTAATTTGTTTAGTGATATTTTTTTGAGAAAAACCTTCATTTGGTACATTTGAATTAGTTAAATCACCCTAAATGTATACATTTAAAATAAAAATTTATAAACCGTCGGGTACTATACGTTTAGACTACTGGATTTATTAGATAGTAGTTGATTGGTAAAAAAATAACTTATTGCTGTTTTAATTGTGGTACATTTGAACTACTGCAATTAACAGCTTCACTAGTTCATAGTCTACATTTGAACTACTTAAATCGTCTTATACAATTGAAATACCAATTTATAAACAGTCTTATACACATTTAGACTACTAGATTTATTGGCCCAATAACTTATTACCTCATTTTTATCGCGGTACTTTTGAACTACCTACAATTAACAGCTTCACAAGTTCTTAGTTTACGTTTTTCGGCAATTTTTCTTTCAATTCGTGATATTTTTACCGAAAATCCTATAACTAATTAAACCGTCCTAAATGTATACATTTGAAATACCAATTTATAAACCGTCTGGTACATTTGGGCTACTAGATTTATTAGATAGTGATTGCTAAAAAAAATAACTTTATTGCGGTACATTTGAACTACTAAAATTAACAGCTTCACAAGTTCTTTGTCTACCTTTTTCGGAAATTTTGGTTCCATTTCTTGAAATTTACATAAAATCCTACATTTGAACTACTTAAATCGTTCTATACAATCGCTTATTAATGCTTTTATAATCAGTTGCATTTCAACCAATGCAATTTACAACGTAATATATTCTTAAAATTAGATCTTTAACTATTTTTATAATTTCATTATTTTAACGAAATTCTGCATTTGAACTACTTGCTTCAACCAATCGGTACATTTGAACTACTTACTTAAAATTGTTTAGTTCATTTGAACTACTGGATTAAATAATTGTTAATTTATCAGAAATGTTCATCTATGCTTTATACAGACTGGTAAATTTTAGCACTGTACGTTAGAACTACTGCAATTAACAGTTTCGCAAATTCTTCAATTACATTTTTAGCAATGCAATCCATTCCGTACAAGTTTTAAGGCAATATTACATTTGAACTACTCACCTAACTCGACCGGTACATTGCTAATTTATCCGAAATATCTATTAATATTGTTTGTTTTTAACACAATACATTTCAACTATTGCAATTAATGTTTAGTTCGCCTTTTACTAATTTTTTCATTTCATCACAGTTACAATTAACTTAAAATCCGCCATGCTTGAACTATTGATTTAAAACGGTGGGTTAGAACTATTTAAATAATTAGTGAGAAATATTAACAATTAAAAAATTGTTCTTACCTGTGCTTGCGAGTTTTCATGCACGACACATTTGAACTACGGCAATCACAAATGTTTATTCCAGCTTTTCACGGCCGGGTGATGTTAAAATTGGCTATAATAACACCCTAAGTATATTTGAACTACTGTATTTTAAACAGTCAGGTTAAAAAGCTTAAATAAATTTTTACAACCACCGTTTGTGAGTTAGTTTTTATGAGTTATACACAAATAGTTTATTTAGTTTTTATTATGAGATATCAATTGATTTATTTCTTCAACAGCTTCCATGTCAAGTTCCATTTCCGAGTCATCCGATAACTGTTCTCCATCTGAATTTTCTATACTATCAGGAATTGATTGTACAATCTCTTCCATATCTACTTGTTCCATTTCATCTCCGCTCTCATCTGAAATAAACGAAACAGCTTCACAATGTATCACACCAATAATATAAATATGTGAAGAGAACTTGATATTAAGAAAAAAAAAAAAAAAAACGAAGGAGAATAAAAAAAAGGTTTAGAACTATAAAGACGAAGATGAAAAATAATACATTTAGAAAAGCTTGAGAATCATATTTGTTTTCTGAAATTAAATGAGATTTCAATTGCTTGATCATAAAGAAAGAATGACAAAATCAAGAAAATTATTGAAAAAAACAATTACAAATCAATTATAAATACCATCGGTCAAAACGACAGTTTTCTCGAAGTCTCCGCCTCTTTGACCGCCTAGATTTCTTCTGAACCCCTTTTTCATTTTGTCCAGCATGCTGCTCGAATAACTCAAAGGATTTTCGTGATCCGCCAAGGATTCTTCATCGGTATCCTTTTCAGGACTCGAACGAAGCTTAGATTGCGATTTAAGACTATCCTCCATCAATTCTTGACGCACCCGCTCCATAACGTACCTAAAACAAGAAATGATACATTTATACAACCAATTTTGCAAATATTTTCGATATATTTATATACCGAGAGTAGATAAATACTGATTAGGTTAGTACACATACTTTGATTACTATACGAGGCAAGAGAGAGGTCCGACCACATACTTTGATTACTATACGAGGCAAGAGAGAGGTCCGACACGCCCAACATAGGGCGCGGCCATTTTGAACCCTTTGACACAGTTTACAGCTAAAGAATCAGATCGCTCACTCTGCGTCGGCACTTTTGATCTCAATGTTTCACTTTATACACTGTGCAACTCGGATAATACAATATATGACAACCGCCTATAATAAAACAGCAGTCTTCTGCGTATCCTGAATTTGTATCTCTGGAGTGGATGTTATTTTGGAACTTTCAACTGGTCTGAGTGAGCTAACTGATTCTTTAGCAATAAACTGTGACTTCAAAAATAATATTCACTGACACTGACAGCAGCAAGCAAAATATCAGGTGCGTTTTAATCATCCGCTTCTGCTTCCGGAATTGTCGGTTTGGTCGTTTTAACCTGTCAGATTAAAACAAGAAAACCGACAATTCCGAAGCAGAAGCGGATGATTAAAACGCACCTATTAAAAATATCCAAGATGTAGGCAACACGTAATAAGGGTTCAAAATGGCGGAGTTTTCTGTCCCCTTTTAAAAGGCACTCAGAAAGCTGCGCATTGCGACCATTCTCCGTATAGTAAAAGAAAATCAAAGTATGTGGGTTAGTAACAAAGCTATGTTAAATTGGCAACACTGTTGACAACATGTGACAGATGACATCATGGCGCATGATCATAGTAGGTTCTTTCGTTTGGCCCGGTGTAAAATCCACTACGCCTTCCTGTCGGCGATGTGGTGTCTACTGGTGGATATTTTCTTCATCAGCTATTTAGCAGTAGTGAATTACACTCCACATGGGTATAAGGAATAAGGAGGGAAGTAAACTAGGGTAAATAAGGTGTGTAACTGGTGTAATTTACATTGGTGTACACTGCACCAACAGCGAACGAAAGAACCTAATGAAATGCCATGGTGCATAACATCATGAAAAAGTGGAGGGGATGTTCTGAAGGGTACACACTTCTGCTAACATTACTTCATTATTGATTTAAACGACAGTATCTTAAAACTCACCTATTGGCGATTTCTCGACACTGCTCTGAAAAATTGAGTGGCAACCAACCAGTTTTAGGGTCGAATTTTTGATTCCCTTGCGTTTTCGGCAACCTCTGGAGCATATCTTGAATTTCCGGTATTTCTATGTTGCAGTACTGTCAAAAATAATAGTTTTATCATTTTTTGTATTTTAGTTCCGAGGTATTTATTTGACCTACCTGGTAGAACATTTGCCTAGCCGGGGGTATCATGTCAGGCGTCAACATGTAGTGACTCTCATCTATAACCAAACCCACTTTTGCCGTCTGCAATCTGTCCGTCTGCGGGAATTTATTTGCGTACCTCCTTTTAGCTTTGACTTTGATTTTTGTACCCTCTACAAAACACATTTACTTATTTGTTAAAATTTGTTGTATCCTTTAAATAATTTATTTTTATACATATTTTAACTACTGCAAACAGGTTCACATAAACTTTTGTTGTTAGAAATGCGTATTTGTATAAAAGGTAGTTGACATTTGGTACATTTGAACTACCCTCTAAAATATCGAGTATATTTGAACCAATCACTAAAAATATCAGAAAAATTAAAACTAATGTATTAATTACTGGATATTTTTATCTAAGCTTAAAAAATTGCTTATTACTGTTTGTGATATTGTATATGATACATTTGAACTATTGTAATTAACGCATTGGCATTTTACTTTTTAGTAACGAGTATTTGATTAAAAGGCATTCGGAAATTTAATATTCTGTACCACCAAAAATATCAAGTACATTTGAACTACCGACATAAACCGCTGGATACATGTGAACTACCGGATTAATTGCCCTACTTTATCAGCATCATTCACACAGAAGTCTGCCTTTTAATTCGGTATCTAATTAGCTATTAATTAACCAGGAATGTATATTTGCGCTTATAAAAGAAAGATTACTACTATAATGTGTTGCTATTTACTTTTGATACATTTGAACTACTGCAATTAATAGGTTTCACAATTACTTTACATTTTTAGAAACGCGTAGTTGATTAAAAGATAGTTTTTAACTTAAAAATACTGATTTATATTGATTTTAGGCAATTATACATTTGAACTAATGCAATTTAAACATTCACACAAAAGTATATCTCTCCCTTTTAATAGGGTATGAGAATTAAAAAATCTAATAAATTTTAATATTTAGTACATTTGAACTACTTACTTAAACAGTATAGTATTTTCGAAATACTAGATATTAATTAATCACATCTATCTACACTTATAAAAAGAGTGATACTATCATTTGTTTCTATTTACTTTTGATAGGTTTGATATATTTGAACTACTGCAATTAACAAGTTCACATGTACTTTCTGCGTTTTTAGAAAAATTTATTAGAATATAGTTTTATGAAAATTTAATTTTGGTATATTTGAACTACTGACTAAGAATATCGGGTACGTTTGAACTGCTGTATTAATTACTTGACATATTGATCTATTTTTAAAACATCGCGTATTACTACTATTTGTGAGATATTATGAACTATTGCAATTAATGTGTTTGTTTTTACTTTTTAACAACGAAAACAGCGTGGTATATTTGAACTACTTGATTAATTACCCTTTAAATTATTAGTACATGCTTATAAATATTGCTGTTTATTGATTTTTTTCTAATGATACATTTGAACTAATGCAATTAGCACAAAAGCATGTCATTAAAAGAATTATAGTACATTTGAACTACTGACATAATTAGTTAATCATTAATTAGGGGCATCTATCTACGAGTATAAAGAGCTGATTACTATAATTTGTTGCTCTTTATTAAGCTATTGCATAGCTTTTATCGCGGGCTTTGAGTGGCGACCGAATCAAGAAATTTCACCCCTCACTCCGACCGGCACGGCGTTATAGCCATGGAACGTTTTATCCGACCCTATTCGTATTAGTATGAAGCGGAGTTAAATATACGTCTGCTGACTGGAACATTTATGCAATACAAGAACTAGAAGAGCTTTCTCTGGCTTCTAATAAATTGGTATCACAAATGTTCCCGGCTGGCGTAAATATTAGATATTAATTTTTAAGCTATTGCATAGCTTTTATCGCGGGCTTTGAACGCGGCGATCGAATCAAGAAATTCCGCGAAAATAAACCATTGTCTGCATTGTCCAACGTCGTTTCAGTTCGGCAGACTTCGGCACGGTGTTTTGTGCGTGCGACTAGACTAGCTGCTCATAACTGATTCTATCTCTTTTAGACCCAATGCTAGGTGAGACAGCGTGCTTTTGGCCGCGTCCACGAGTGAGTTCGAGCCCACTGGAGTTGTACAGTATATTTTTTCTACGACTCACTAACAAAAATCGTAAAATCAAAAAATCGAAAATAAATTCCGTAACGAAAATAAACCTAACACCCCCCACTCCGACCGGTACAGCGGTGCGGCGTTGAAAGCCGTGCATCGTCTAACGTCGTTTCAGTTCGGCAGATTTCGGCACGGTGTTTGTGTGCGTGCGATTAGACGTATGCGTGTATAGACTAGCTGCTAACTGCTCATAACTGATTCTATCTCTATTAGACACGTTTTCTAAAAAATTGAATTTGAAAATGAATAATGATCCACAAGAATCCACAACAAAATATGGGACCACCATTGACGCGGTATTTTCCAGATATTTAGAGGATATCAACTCTCAAACTTATGTTTCTTATTTTAGTTACCATAAACCTATAGTTTCAATGATAAAAATTCCTGAATAACCTGTATTGTAAGATAATAAAAATATTTTAAACAATATTAACTTCTCATTTATTCAATAAAAGAAAAAAAATTGTTTTCTTATCGGTCACCACACTCAAAAAGTGTAACTTGAATTAATATCAAAGAAAAAAATACTGCATAAATAAAATAAATAATTATAATTGCATAAGTTGATAAAAAATGCTATGCAATAGCTTTACCGCGGCAGTCCCCGAGTGCCACACGTATTTTTTTGATACAATTGATCTACTGCAATTTAAATTAACATCTAACATGCGATAAATATGAACTAAACTTTTTAATTATTGAGTAAATTTGATCTATAGTCATTAAAAAATGTTTTTGGCTACCTCTGGCTCTGATTCGAAAATCCAATGTTTGATAAATCCTCATATTGAAATCGTACCTTGGATCGACACCAAATTTCGTCCAAATCATTCTCCAAGGTCCGTTTGTCCAAAAATACGAGACTGCTGGCAAAATGACTTTTAAAGACTCTGCCAAAATGCCAGTTTTATGTTGGATGGCTGCCTTTGACCACATGGGACGTTCTTCAAACAGCTAAAAAACAGTATTTATATTATTTTTAATCTATGTAGATAAAATAATTTTATGCATTTAACCTTTTTGGCTCGTTTGAAAGAGTCATCTAAAAGTCTGTCTTTTACCAATTTTATTGCTGTAGGATTAGGACCTGTGGGAATCTCCAAATTTGGATCATTGATGCTCAACAAGTAAGATATTTGTCTGTATTTGTATTTCTCCTTAGGTTTTTTCTGATGAAACATTTGGAACAATTCAGGCCTTTCGTTTTGGTCCAAATTAAATTTTTCATTGGCATTTAGATACAAAGTCTGATGAACAATTTCGTATCTTGAGAAGTTTGAAGGAAGAAGTAATATAGATTGCGATGCACTCTCTTTAGAGCTGAAATAGTATAATAATAATTGGTTCAATAGATCACAAATGATATCAAACAAACACCAAGTACAGAAACAGTCATAATGATATAAATTTAAAAACTATTATGTAATACAAAAGTTTTATTCGTTGAACAATATCAGCAAATAAACTTACAGTAAGAACTCAAAAGTTGGTAACTTTTTGAGAAAAATCTTATCATGTACATAATCAACTTTATCAGACTTAGTATCCTGTGTTAATGGTAGAAACTGAAAATCGACCGCTTCTGAAAACAAAATATACAAATAATTCCAAAATATGCAAAATAAAATCATACTTACTGTTAAATTTAAAATTTAGACAAGTATAACCAATTATATTATAATCAAGTTTTTCTCCCTTTTTAGTAACTTCTAAAACTAGCCCAGGATTTAAGTCTTCATCAGCCAAGCAAGGCTTATTAAATCTATTTTCAGGATGAAATCTTAGCTCTAGTTTCTTTTTAGAATCATTGAAAGCCTAACAAACAAAAATGATAATCATAAAAATATGCCTATAATAAATAAGTACATACCGTTTCAACATTATATATTCCACCTAATGTTTCTAACGCTTTAGGAACGTTCTTAACAATACCAGGATATTCAATTCTAACAAATTTTCTTGTGAGCCTGAAAATTTTACTCTCATCTATAATTGGGGAAGCAAAAGATGCTATTTCTATTGCGGATTCTGTGGTTTGTTTTTTATTTTCATCTATTTGAGATGCTTGTGAAGCAGAATCTCTGATGTCATCCATTTCTATCTAATAAAATACAATTAAATCCTTTTTTTTTAGGATTTAACTCATTAAAAAATTCAAATTTCAAATTATATCAAAATATAACCTAACAACACAAAACGGCAAAACCTTAAATAGGAAAAGAAGAACCTATGTCAGATTGTAAGTCTTTTACGTACTGAGTAAATGAGATACCTCATTTTTCAAATTGTATGATTTGTTTCTACGATTATGGAGAAAATATTGATAATTTCATGTAATTGTGATGCGACTGAAAAATTATCATGCCAGTGAAAGGTAGAATCCTTCCTCCATGGGTAGAATTATCTATTTGCAGTTTACGATCAAATATAATACCACATCTTAAAAGAGAAGATGAAAATGTGTCAAATGCCAAACGTCAATTGTGTCACATGTCACGAAAATCGGCACTCGACATTTTTAGATTTTTTGATTTCAATTTTCACAAATTATTCGCTAAACGAGATTAATTTATTCGAATTCGTTCTTTTAAAATACCCTTCGTTACGTTTATATTAAAATTTCCACATCCAGTGTTCGCATTTTCCAGTTATTCCACAATTTACATAACCTAACCTTATATAAATTACTTTTTTAACAAATAAAAATGTCCGCTGCGCAAGTTTTTAACAGAATCGGTCAAGTCGGTTTGGGAATCGCCCTTGTTGGTGGCGTGGTAAACTCAGCTCTATATAATGGTAAGTAAATAATTAAACATTTACAAGTTTGAGGTTATGTCAACATGGCATGATTTTTTTTAATTCTAGTTGATGGGGGTCACAGGGCAGTTATTTTCGACAGATTCGCTGGTATTAAGAAAGCTGTAATAGGCGAAGGAACGCATTTCTTCATCCCATGGGTGCAAAGACCTATCATTTTCGATGTAAGATCGCGTCCCAGGAATATCCCTGTCGTTACCGGAAGTAAAGATCTTCAAAACGTAAACATCACACTCCGTATTCTCTTCAGACCGATTCCAGATCAATTACCGAAGATTTACACGATTCTAGGTCAAGATTATGAAGAAAGAGTGCTACCATCTATTACTACAGAAGTCTTGAAGGCTGTTGTAGCCCAATTTGATGCTGGTGAACTGATTACTCAGCGTGATTTGGTTTCTCAGAAGGTGTCTGAGACACTAACTGAAAGAGCTGCTCAATTTGGTGTCATCTTGGATGATATTTCACTGACACATCTTACTTTTGGAAGAGAGTTTACTCAGGCTGTAGAATTGAAGCAGGTGGCTCAACAGGAGGCCGAAAAAGCTAGGTGAGTGATTTAATCGTGGTGCATAGTTTCATAAAATTGTCAAAATTTTATATTTTTATGTTTATCTAATATATGAGTAATTAATTTCATGGTTATTGAGAATTCCTTGTAGTTACAATCTTCTTTTACAATTTTCTCAAGGACCTGTAACAAAATTTTAATGTAATTGCCAGATTATTGAAAAAAACCGATTTTTACTGAAACATGTCTTTTTTGTTGCAACTCATAGATTTTTGGTAGAAAAAGCAGAACAAACCAAAAAAGCAACTGTAATCTCGGCCGAGGGTGACGCACAAGCCGCCATATTGCTAGCCAAAGCATTTGGAGATGCAGGTGAAGGTTTGGTGGAGTTGAGACGTATTGAAGCAGCTGAAGACATTGCCTACCAGCTATCGAGGTCTAGGCAGGTTTCCTATTTGCCCGGTGGACAAAATTTACTTCTGAATGTGCCAACACCAGGAAATTAGACATAGAAATGGGTTAGGAAGCAGTGGCGTGCAATGGATTTTTTCTCCTAATTATTTTCAATTATATTTTCCTGAGACAGCCAGTAATTTGAAATTTTAGTAGACTGAAAGTAGAAAAAATCGATTTGGGAGACAAATTTGAAAATAATTGGTTTTAAAAATTTAGTCAGGGGGACAGCCTGTTGTTTTATTTGGCTGAAAGGAGTTCTTGTGTAAGACCTCTTACAGTTTTGTCATATATAGCTTAATATGTCTTATTATTATTTTTTATAAGATTAGATCTACGGATTTGTTAATAAATTGTTGAAAAATTGGTTAAATGTGTTTATTTTTCTACATTGACTCGCTATTCGAAGTATTTAAGTAAGTACATTTGAATTAAGCTAAAATGGGTGGTTTTGTTTTTATATAAAGTATATTTGAAGTACTGTAGTTTTTTGTTTTTTTCGATACATGTAAACTATTTTTAATTACAAATGTATTCTTTAAAAATGTATGTTGCTTGATTTAATAGTTTTCATCTCTGATGTATTTGATCTACTTTATTTGAAACACTCAAAAATACTCATTTTGTTCCAAATTGTTATGCAATACTTTTAATGGAATTTAACATATTGCACATTTGAACTACTGGCTAAATGTATCACTTATACTAGGATTGTTCATGTATGGCATATTTGAACTTCTATATCTGACAGATTCAAAATTACCTACTTGTTTTGTTCTTTTTGGTAGATTCATGGTCCAATAAAGTTTTTATGAATTTTAGCTTCTAGTACATTTGAACTATACTTGCCAAATCAGACGTTACTTTAGTAGAAATATTTATTTGTACTTAAAAAAGTATGATACTACTTATTTAAAAAAAGCTTTATTTAAATCAGTATTTCCCAAAGTGGTCCAGGGGTCCACGGGAGACTCGACGGGGGTCTACGTTGGGCGTAATAAAAATGGGGGTCCAGAATCGTAAGCGGTGGTGCATGAAAATTAATTTGGTTTCGATACTATTAAACAATTGATTACTCATTTTTCCATGTGATGAAGAAATTATTGTAAAAAACTTTAACTGTTTATAATATAAACAGTCAACATTTTAGTTAGTTAAATGTTGACTTCTCTTATCAATATATGCAGATAATATTTTAAGAAGCTCAGCGACTGTTATTTGTAAAAACTTGCATATTCCATATTCAGTACAACGCGTCGAGACTTGTCGTTGCCGCGCCGGCCGCCGGTACCGTCCGCAATGCTTGTTCAGACGTGCAAATTAATACGACTTGTGGTGTATGTGCTTGCAATCTTGCATGAATGTGTTTGATTCTTCACCAGTATAAATACGAATGTCTAGGATAATCGTTACTCATTTGTTTCTGGAATTTCATAAATAAAAGTGAATCGATATTAGTGTTGGCCAGTGATTGAATTTGTTTCCAGACTTTCGAAAAGAAAAGTAAAGTGAATCGATATTAGTGTTGGCCAGTGACTGAATTTTTTTTCCAGACTTTCGAAAAGTAAATTGAATCGATATTAGTGATTGCCAGTGTCGGAAAAGTAAGTACCTACATGTCTATTTGTTATATGCATATAGTTTTAAGCCGAAAAAAATTGAACTTATCGTCCTTACTTTATTTTTATTGCCTATATAATTCATTTAATTATTGCGGAGTATTGCCTATATAATTCATTTAATTATTGCGGAGTTTTGATATCAAAATATTGTTTAAAAGTTTCTATAGAATTTACAGAAATATATTAAAATATAATAAATGAAATAATAATTTTATATCACAAAATAAGTTCAGCCGTTTTCATAAAACTCTATTATGGATCTTAGCGATTTATTGCTTTTAATAATTAGAAACAGTTTGCAGCCGGAACTTTGTTTATTTCATAATAATAATAATTGATTAATCATATTATGTTAAAATAACCATATCCTGTTAAGTTCGAATCGCCTTAAGATTACTAAAACAAAGTTTTTTTATTTACTTACACATTTACAGGTAGGTAATTGATACAAAACATGGCCGAATCTAAGACGAAGTGTCGTCAGTACAGTGTTGAATATTTAAAATTTGGATTTCTTCCATCAAAGGCAGACAAATGATTGCCCACATGCCTTTTATGCAACAAAGTTTTGAGCAATGACTCTATGAAACCATCAAAGCTGGAAGATCATCTAAGGAGGTGTCAACCTGATAAAATAGGTAAAGATTTGAAATATTTCCAAACGTTGAAGGAAAAATATGAAAAGAGACCCACCGTGCCCAGTATGTTCTCTTCAACGTCTAAAAGCAACGATGATGGCTTGCGGGCATCTTACAATATCTCATTACTTATCGCAAAATCTGGAAAACCACACACCATTGGAGAACAGTTAATTTTACCTGCTGTTGAAGAGGTTTTAAAAACTGTTCTGCACAAATCTTCATTTGACATACTCAAAAGAATTCCTTTGAGTAACAACACTGTACAAAGACGTATTGATAAAATGAGCTCTGATGTTGAAAGTTTCTTGTGTGATTATCTACAAACAACTCAGTTTTCTATTCAACTGGTCGAGTCAACTTTACCTGGCAATGAAGCATTATTATTGGCATATGTTCGATTTGTTATGGGCGAAGAAATTCATTAAGAGCTACTATTCGCGAAAACTTTGAAGACGGACACTAAAAGTGAATCAATGTTTAATGTTTTTAGTGAATTTTTAAAGAAAAATCGATTCCATTCACAAACGTTATTTTGGTGGCAACAGATGGAGCTCCTGCCATGGTCGGGCGATATCGTGGGTTTATAAGCCATCTTAAAAGAATTATACCACAGGTAATTGCTATTCACCGTGTTATCCACCGACAACATCTAGTAGCGAAAAATTTGAGTGATAGATTGCACCAATCACTTCAATTTGTGATTAATGCAGTTAACAAAATAAGAAGCAATGCATTGAATAGGTACGCGTTTATTTGCACAATTGTGCGATGAAAATGATGAAGACTTCCAACGATTGCTGTTACATACCGAAGTACGCTGGTTGTCGAAAGGTGCATGTTTATCAAGATTTTATTTACTTTTTGACTCAGTTTTAGAGTTTTTAGAAAGTAAAGATCCTGATTTAAAAAAAAAACTCGATCAATTTTAAAGCAGACATCGCGTATTTGACAGATTTGTCCAAAAAATTTAATGACCTCAACTTACAATTACAAGGGGACAGCCTCAATTTAATAAAACCAAAGAGTGTAATTTCAGCTTTTCTTGGTAAATTGAAATTTATGAGGGAAAATATTGGTCGGCGCGAATTTTCACAGTTTTCGAACTTGTCGCAGGTAGAATGCCTTGATGAAGATATTCAGACATACGTTCAACATTTGATTGCCCTGCATGATGATTTTAAATTCAGATTTGAAGATATTTTGTCGATGGAAATACCACCATGGATCATAAATCCATTTGATGAAACGGAAGTGGAGAATGTGATATTACCAGAGGAGCTACTCGAGCTTAGTACTAATGAGGAGCTAAAAGTGACATTAAAAGAGGGTATCAAAAATTTTGGCTGCAGACAGAAATACCCGAAAAATATCCTGTACTGTGGGGAATTGTGCAAAAGCTTCTGATAACGTTTCCCTCGTCATATTTCGAAAAAAGTTTTAGTGCCGTTACAAACTTTTTAACAAAAAAAAGGAGCAGATTGAATATCACAGAAAGGGGAGATTTACGGTTATTCCTTACAAAACTCAAGCTAAATATTGATAATCAAGTACATCCCTCTCATTAAAATTATATATTTTTTGTAATTAAATTACATAACGTTATAAAGTGTTTAATTTTAATTATATTACGACGGTTATAACAATAATTAATAGTGTAATAATTTATATATTTAAATTTAAATAAATACCTACAACACAAGGAAATATACTATATTTCTTTTTACCACTCCGAATTGGACATTTTCTAAATAAAATTTGTGAGAATTGATTGGTCTTGTGCTGTGAGTCACTGCAGATTTCAAAAAAGTAAAGTTGGATGGAGTCTCTTTTTCGTTTGGCTAACTTTGCTTTTTTGACATCCACTCACAGCAAAATCAATTAAAATTTAATTGAAAATTCCACACCTGTAATTTTGAACCAATCAAAATACGTGTTTTTGACAGATCACCATGGCAACGGAGGTATTTTAGTGGAAATTTTTTTCTCGTGTGGTACCCAACAGCGAATTATACTGGAAATTTTTTGACGTTTACAATAACAGACCATTTTTGACAGACTGGTTTTTATTTGTTCACATAATAGGTTTAGTTTTGATACATTTTAGTTACAATGCTAAGGTGTTTTCTATATTCTTCGGCCACTTCTTTTCTTCTTAATGGCGAAAATGCAGGACTTTGGATGCTTTGAATTATGTGTCTATGTCTAATAAAATATATATAATATTTAGACACTAATTTATTCACCTTTTTCCCATTCAGCACTTTGAATTTTGCGTAGTTTAGGTGCAAATATTCGTGGACAATTCGGAACAAATTTTCGTTTTTCAAGTTGGAGCCACAATCCTCTATTAATCCGAGTAAGTAAGTCATGGTGCAATGATGATCATTACATCAGACAATTTCACGCATATTTTGCATAGCGTATGGTTTTCAAATCGATTCATTTTTAAACAAATAGGTAATTTTGTTGGTTTTACTTGCTGTGCAATATTCTTTATCGCAACAAAACGCGAGTTATTTAATGTTTTGAACTGTCAAAATACAATGATCACAGCCTCCTACGATTGATGCTTGCTGACGCTGGTTATGAATTTCATACCATTTTAAAGCGCTCATAACGCATGTTAATAAAAACGCAGAAAAACAATTTTCTACCACTTGTAGTTATTCAAAACTTACGTAAAATTAAAGAATATACTATTTTCTATTTTCAAATGGTATTCCCATGCAACTACAATGAGTAGAAATAAGCAATTTGAAGGCCTAAATAATTGCAGCGAAACATTTTTTTACGGTGGGCCGCTTGACAACTTCAAAACTGAAATTATATTCTAGGTTAGGGTCTCACTTAGTTACCATGACAACTCAACAATCAAGGCGACAACACCTTTTATGTTTCACTGGAGTGCGTTTAGAAACCCCGCACGACGCGTCTGAGCCCTATTCTAATGCATGTGGTAAGACGCGCCGTGCGGGGTTTCTAAACGCACTCCTGGTGACTTGGAGAAAATAATTTGCATTGTTGAGAAACGAAAAATAAATTTTAAAAATATTTAATTTTCAACCATAATTCGGCGTGGAATTTTCTTACCGAATACCACGCGAGGT